CCCAACAGAACCTAGGAAAAACGAAAAACTTGGAAAATATCTGTGGTTTGGCTTTGGCTAAACTTCTATCCACACACTTCCTATAAAACTGACATTGAGACAGTGCTGACAGTAGAGAGCCTTTATGTTAGCTCTATACTGGCAGAGATAAATACACTAAATACAAGGCTTAGCCACAAAAGCCTCCCTCAATAATAAGTTAATTTCTTATAACTCTTTAAATCATTACTAAATGTTTCCCAGAATGCAGCACAAGCTCTTGGGATGGGGCATGTCAGGGCAATCCACAACTCGTATTTGAAATTCAGCACCTGCCCAAAAGCACTGTGTTGATTTACCTAACTCTGATTGTATGATGGAAAAATAGAAACACATTGAATATATTTTATTCTACTTGTTTTTTCCCCCCAAAGTCTGACATTGAAGAATCCCCAGGGCTATTCTAGGTTCTATTTCTCTTTCTTACAGAAACCTTCTGGTATGTCTTGGATCCTCCTTCAGTCTGCAAGTCCCCATCAATGCTGTTGCAAATAAAAGATTTTTCTCAACATTGGAAAGAATATCATACTGTTACATTATGTTCTAACATCAGCTTTTCTATGTGAGAATGTAAAAATTCCTTGGACCCATATGGTCTTGTACGGTTAACAAATATGAAAAGTCAAGAGCTTTTTGTGAAATGCATGCACCATTAATTAGGTCGTTGACTTTAAAAACAAAAACAAAAACCAAACAACCAAAAAACCAAGCAGATCCGTCTGTCTGTTCTTCAGAATGCTCATTCTCTGTTGCCATGGTCACAAATTACCATAGTAACATTAGACAAATTTGTATTTTTAGATTAAAATTGCTTCTTTTTTCACAGAAGAGAGATCCAACTGAAAGAAAATACTCATCTTTACCAGGAAATACTACTAAAATTCACAGTATAAAGTAGAGCAACACACAGCAATTGGTTAATTGCAAAAGTGGGGGGGGATCACAAACATTGCCATTTTCAGAGCTCCTTCCTACAGCTAGAAAATGGTTTGAATGTACAACAATAAAAAAAAAGTGAGGACAGTTACTCTGTAATGCTATTGTCTCAGCAAGCTTCACTGGATAGTGGTGCAATCAGAATGCCTAGAATGGCCTTCTCAGTCAGAAGTTAACAGCAGTATTATTTCAGATGTCTCCATTAGAGCCCCAGCTTGCTTTTCCCCTCATCCCCAAGGAGGGCCTTCACTCACACCTAGGAAACACTACTTTTCAACTGTCATAATTGAGCTAACTGTTACAAGGTGTGTCTCTGCTCACCCATGTTCAGTGATTTTGTCATTCTTATACCCTCTGGTGGACAAAAAGTAATTCACAACCCTCCTTGTGCCGTACTGCCTTTAGATCAGCACTGTGCTAATGGGGACTTGGACATTAAAATGATGAGTGAAATCCAAGTATCTCTAATTTGAGAAATAATCTGACAGAAGAGCCAGTAATGAGGAGTCCATTAATGCAGTGCTTTCCCAAACAAGGCAGTAGCACGAATACAGAAGGTTTGACGATCAGGAAAATTTCTCTCCATTTTATAGTCACCAAAATTTTCCGACTTCTTTCTTTTTGGTAAGTTACTAAGCATTACTTGTGATAAAAACTTAGTTCCCTGGTATGTAAAGCTTTATATGCTTGCCATCCAGACTGACTTTCCTCACAAACCTGCTACAAAGACCATGACTGAATTCCCTACCTTTGTAAGTCAGTATAGCAATGGATTTCCACTGCTGCCAGAAATGCTTTAATGTTTTACATAGTCTCAGACAGTTATATATTACAGAAGACTTGAGCTTTTGCTCCTTTAGTGTTCACTTATTTTTGCAGTATTCCTATAAATGTTACTTCTAACATTATCTGGTTAAATGCTGACAGAATGCTCTCGTCTAAAGGGTCTGCAGTGAGCACATTTCAACCAGAATCCACTGCAAGAAAAGGGAAGTATGTCAAACTATGCTATTTGCAATAGATGCTCTCATTCCCCTTGGGAATCTAGACCGAGGCCTTGTTGTACAAGTTACATGCATTAATCTAAGTCATAGGTTTAAATAACGAAAAAAGGCTAAATTTCAGCTCTAATACTGTATATTTCAAGTCTCCACAGTCAGTAAAAAGGAAGCCAGCCCTTGCTTAATAAAAGTGAACAAAAAAAGCATTACCAATTCACAGAAGAATAGGAGCTCTATGAAAGAGAGCAAAAAAGTAACAGATAGCTTGCAAGGGGCTTCAGGCAAAGATTCTAGGCATATAAATAGCAATGACCTAAATTTACCTGCAAAGTTGGAAAGAAAAAAAACCTAAAAAACCCTAAAAAAACAAACAAACAAAAAACCAACCAACCAAACAAAAACCCCAAGCAAACAAAAAAACCAAAACAAAATAAAAAACCAAAAACTAAACAAAAACAAACAAACAAAACAAAAAAACCCCACCAATCTGCCACTATTTATTTTCACTTCATATTATTTTAATTCCTGTTATCATCAGAAATATAGCACTGGAAATTCTGACACTGAATTTTGGGATTCTACAGGTAATTGTGTAAATGAGTGTAGTTAACTCCAGGATTTGGTTCACCCAAACATGCAAGCTTTGGCAGGAGGAAGAGGGTAGAATTTCCCAGATAAACATATCCTCTGAAGCTTCCTGCTAGTGCTTCTCCAGCATAACACATCTACGAAATGATGAGAGATACTTGATATTCCTCCCCGCAGATCAGTTGCTGAGGTAAAAGTCAAACTTTATTGTTCTGAAAGTTTGAAGAAACTCAGTGTATGTAGCTCAAGCCCAATTTAGAAAGGGGGGGAGGGGGAAAGGAAAAGGGGAAGGAGACTGACTCCAAGGGAGCAATCATGCTCAAAAAAGAAATCAATAGAATGCACAGTTTAAGTGTTGCTTGAGGCTCAGGAAGTTAGCAGTATTTACTGGATAACTCTGTACTATACACAGCTCATTTTCCACTCTAATTCTATCTATCTATCTATCTATCTATCTATCTATCTATCTATCTATCTAACAAGACAGGTTCTTAGCTGCTATGAAGTTATCTTCTCCATTTACTGTTAAGACCAACTGTTTTCACAACTCACTCTGCATACCCCTTAAGATCTTTTTTTGAGGCCTCTAAGCTTTTTAACAATACATATAAGGAACATAAGAATCAGTTATGTTTATAGTGTCTTGCAACAGAGCCAAATTCCAGATGAAAAGTGACCAGGAAATGTTTCTCCTCAATAACATTAAAGCATATTCCCATGCAACACGTGGATTTCTGCACACATTATCAGCTCTTAAACATTAAACCCAGTAGATTCCAGACCAGAAATAGTACACAGGAACTAGCAGTGGGTGGCCCTGACTGAGTTGCAAGGTTGAACCAGATGACCCCCAGAGGCTCCTTCCAACTCTGACACCTCTACGGTTCTACAAGCTCATGTAACTTGGGAATACTTTCCTAGTTTTTCATATATCTGACTTTGCAAGACAACTCACAAAGCAGCACCACGAGATGCTTCAGCCAGACAGCGCATTACAAAACTCCCAGTGGTTAAAGCAAGAAAAGCTATAGTACAGACCAGTCACACAGAGATGACATTCAGCACCTCACCAACAAGCAGAAATATGACAATACAGTGTCTCCATTAGGATACAACTTTTATTTCCTAGATTTCTCTCTTAGGGAACAATCCACACTTCCCAGCATTATATGCAACTTTGGAAGACAGAAAGGAAAAATCAGCTCAATTAAACAGCTGCTCTCAAGCATACAATGACACTTCACAGTTAACTTGTGAGCCTCCTTAATACAATGCCATGTGTAGATCAGAGAACCAGCAGAGCCCTCCATAGAGATCTTATTTTTCTCCTAAGGCACTCAATTTCCTGCTTATCAAGACGGCACAGAAAAAATAACCATTTCTGGAAAGTTGTGGTTCTCTAGAGAACTTGCTTTCCAAGGAAGAGTATTGTGAGGGAGTTGTATTTCCAAGAGGGATGTATAAAATAAAGCCCAGGACTGCAAAAGCACAATGAATGGAAATCAATTCACTAAAATGAGGGAAGGTGAAACTTCCCTAGGACAAGCTTTGCAATTTTAAGAACACCAGCATCCCTCTCTATATATATGCTCTACCTATCAAGGAAATTACTCTAGTCTAAAAGAAATCAGTCCCAGACATGTAAAGCTGGAGAATCACAAACTCAAATTTTAAAAAGTAAGTAATAAAGATGTTTAGGTCAAGTATAAAGGTTTAAAATCTGACAGATGTCTCCTCTGTATTTTCATAGTTCTTACCCACCACGGAGGATTACTGTCAAAGAAGAAAACATTTTTTTCCCTTTTATGCAACAAATCATTAAGTTTCTCAGACAGGAAACCACATTTCACTATTTTCTTTTCCAACAGCAGAACACTGACTCATACTACTACAAACGTGAAAGTAAAACATTTCTTTTCAAAAGGCAGTCATGGCTTCAACTTTGTATCTCATGGTATGGGTATTTTAGGATAACCTTTAGGCACACAAAGTTTGAAACACACATACTACCCCCTTCAGCCCCCAGCTTGAAACATCATTTTCTCTTACTGCACTTCTCTCTGTGGCCAGGCATATTAAGAAAAGGCTCTACACATTTACCGAACACAACAGGTTCTAATGCTAGGTGAAGATGTAACCATTCACTTTATTGCACAACGAAGCCCACAGATGATACTGAAAAGAAGCTACATTCCAGCATTTCCTGCTGAAAACACCGAACAGCAGCTGATGAAAGCATTTTATGAAAACAGCACATTCAGCGTTCTCATTAATAAGAGAATTTCTGTGCAAGACAGTGCCATCCAATGCAGAACTGTATCTAGAAACTCACTAGGAGGTCACATGGGTGGTAGTAGATCTGCAGTGGCTTTGATCAAGCAAAGCACGATCTAGCAGTCACATTTGTGCTAGAAGAAAGCAGTATTCGTGCTAAGACACTGCTCTTGCTCTGGGTAAGTTCTGCTGCTTGACATCATCAGCTTCATATCGCACACTAGATAGTCCCTGATTCTACTGTAGACTCACTCTTGCAACCAAAAGCCAGTTCCCCTGTATAAACAAAAGTCAGAGTAAAACTCACTCATATTTACCCATAAGCTAATGACATCAAGCATCAATGCTAAGTAAAAGCTACTTAGCACAAGACCCAGCTCAGAAAGACAAAGATAAATCCAAATACCAGAACAGAATCTTCAGAAATTCTTCCTGTGCTTTAAAGCAGAAAAGCCTCTACAAATAAATGGATTCTAGAGAAGATTCTGGGAAGTCACTCTGTGGAAACCTAGTAATTGTAGACTATCACGGTGCATGCACAAGGAAAGGGCAAGAAGATCAGCACAAGAGGAGACCTGGCTTCTAAATCAAGTCCCTCACAATGTTTTACATAAATAATTTGCTATGCAAAATTTTAATGAAAACAAAAATCAAGTAACATGGTCATAGACATACTTGGCATATAGAGAAGAATGGTTCTCTCTTGCTCAGTACAGGAACATCTAGGGCAGCAACTCCTCACAACTAGAACTTCCACGTAACCATGAAAGATTTTTATCTGTTGTCTGGAGAGAGGCATTTCCTTTGGAAACAGAAAGTATTCCTGCTTCAGGACATGCATTTGCATGTGTAGTAAGAAATGAAGTTTGCTAATAAACTAACAAAGAACAAAATAATTGGGGTTTTCTGTGAAATTCAGAACCAAATGAAGAATTTTCTACTGACTTCTGGATAAAGTCTTGTGGATAATTTAGGATAAATATTTCTGACGAGATCCAAGTTTCTAACATGGACTGTAAAGTTTAAATTCTTAAAAGCTACAAAAAATAGTAATCCCAACTTAATTGGCTTCCTGAAATAACTGGTCAATTCAACAGCAAATAATTTGCCACCAAGACAATGGGAAACAAAAGAAAAATTCAGTCCTAGTCTTCAACTTCATAAACTTTTGAAAGGCTGCTCTCTAGAATATTTGGCCCTCTGAAGAATTCACTCTAATTTCAGAAATGTGACAGCAAAAGTATGGGACACAAACACCTGCATGTAGGAGCCAGGTTCCTTTGATAACTAATTTCAGTGAAAATTGAGACCACCAGGTATTCATTCAGACACCCGTACCTATAACGGTGCACCTTCATTAGAGATCGTGATAACAAGAACTGCACGCATAAAACTCGTAAATTTTCACTGACTCAGCTGGCATGTGTACAGGGGATCTCCCCTTAACAACCTTCAAGAGATTAGTATGGCTTGGTGTGATGCAAATTTTCTCTGCAGCACTGTAATTTCACTCCCACAATATTCTGCATTCCTTGTAGTTTTCTGTCCCAAGTGATAAGTATTGCTCAAGTCTCAGGACACTGATAAACATGGCACATGTCAGACAGAAAATCTGTGCAAGGGCTGCACCAGGATAAAGCAAGAGGAGTGATTAATCACAGTATTGCGCCCTAGTCTCTGTTTTTTATCCCCCATAAATGAAATCCTCAAGTCAGCAGAAGTCAACTATTAATAAATCAACTGTTTCAGTTCTCATGTCCTGAGGATTGACTCTCCTAAAGCTGAGGTGAGGGCTTCTGAAATTCTCAAGTATGCCTGCAGATTATTTTGAGACAGATTATCCCCAGACACTTGCTAGAATAAAAGAATTTGTCTGAAGTAACAAGCAACACACTGACATGAGTTCAACCAGTAAATGGCGAAGCGAATACGCTTGCCATGGAACTGCATGGGACTCACCTCATTCTGACGCTCTCATAGGAGTCAAAGTGGGTATTTGAACCTGAAATAAAATTCAAGTAGTTTCAAAAACAGCCAAAATCTTAGAGATGCCAAACTTTCCTTCTCAACAGTAATTCTTGCCTACTCCACCATATAATGTGCACATAATAGCACATTTTCTTTATTAATTTTTCCAGTTATCTCCCTTCACCTTCCAGAAAGAATAAAATAAAAACCAATCTCTTCATGTTCCAGTATGAGTAATGGGAATCTAGCATATACCTCCCACAAGCCAGTCCTTTATGTTCAAAAGCACTCAATATACATCACTTCAGTAACTTTCTCAAAGGCGATGGACGTATCAGGTACAGTCCATTCTTAAGGAATATGATTCATGGTGGGCACTTCTTAACAACACACAGCTGCAGGAGAATACCCAGAGCAAGATAAGACATTTTAGAGAGCCACCTACCCTGTGCAACTCCTGTGTCTAGTATTTTTCTAGCTTCTGTGCAACGGATGTCTCTAACCCTAGTCAGTTTTTCCACCAAAGATTCTCAGCTAGAGTTATACAGTGGGAATTCCAAAGCAACTGGCTATGTACAGACATATCAGCATTCCCTCCAACAGAGAGATGAAAAGGAGAAAATTCCTGAGGATTTGTATCCTCTACTCTGCTTTCTGAATTCCAGCTTCCCCCTTGCCTTGGAATGAGCTCTGTAAAGCAGTATCAGTTATTTACAAGAATCTCAGCTCCCTTCCTTTGAAGAGTTTCCCCATAAAAGCGAAAGGAAAATCCCAGGACAGAGACAGGTGCTGGGGGCGGGGCGAGGGTGCCTTAGGATGACTCGCCAGAAGCAAGAGAGCCAGCAGCTTTCTTCTTAGGGCGGGCTTTTACACTTCTCACTGGAAGCTGAGGAGAAATAAAAAGAGGCATCTTAGGCTAGTTTATTTTAACATCTAAACATACAACAGAAAGATGCAAGAATGCTGAGTGAAAATAGGACAAAAAAATTACAACATGACCCTATTAATGTCAATGTAATAATGTCATTATTAACATTGTCTCAAAAGCCTATTTAACCATTCCTTTTTTTTCATTAAACAAATCACACAACATATTCATCAAATAGCAAGCAGGAAAAGACATTCTAAAATAGGATATGTACACTAGTAAAATCACAGCCAGCTGTCCAAACCAAAGGTTAAACATAGATATTTCTAACTGGTAACATTCATGTAACATTTCACTGCTCTAACTTCTCTGCTTCTTAACTTCCATCACCAGTGCAGTTCTCTGAAAGCTGTAGAAACATCCTGAACTAATTTGCACACTTTACTTCTGTGCCTTTCATTCTAGACATTGGCAAAAAGGGCACATTTATTCATCTATGATGCATTCAGCCCTGGCTGGCAACCTCAGTGATCTCACTCAAAGATCTCGTAAAAGTCCTAAATCTGACCCAAAGATCCAACAATCTGAGCATAAAAACCAATACGCCTGCAAAGGGCTTTAATGGTATTTCTGTATTCACAATAAACAGCATAGAAGAGCTCTTTCTGTCTTTTCACAATTTCACTTTGAAAAGTCCTCACTAGGAAGCTTCGACTCAAATTTTGAGCCTCTTATTTCCCTGTTCCCGTCTAATACAGTAGACAAGAAAGAAGAGGGGGCAACTCCGAAATAAGCCATAGAAAGATCCGAGTTAAATTAAAACACGTCTTTGGACGTAAATGTCCATCCTTGGAGAAAATCAAAAGCCACCTGGACCTTGTCCTGGGAACTGGCTCTACATGAGCAGTGGGTTTGAACCAGAGGAATTCAGAGATCCCCTCCAACCTCAATTGTTCTGTGATTCAATCACAAGGAGCACTTAAGCACATGCAAACGTTTCCCCTACACTGTAAAATCATGTTAACAGTACAACTTAAAATCATGCTCTAAGCAATTACTTTCCTTCAAACAAATAAATATTTAGCCTGAATAGCTTGACAATGTGAGTCAGTTATATAGCATTGTTTATCTTCTATAAATAGAATACGAGAAGTCCAAATTGAATCAAGCAAATAGGACCCCAACTTGATAAAAAGGGAGAAGCGTTTTATCATGTACAAATCAAATCCTAAGAAACACTCAAGTAAGAGTCAAGACCTGGAAAGCTGCACCTCAAAAAGCGTTTTCTATAAAACACACCTGAAAACACCTGGAAAAAAGACTGCTAAGCTTACATGATTCTTGGACACAGCTGCATTTACTTTCCTGTATGGTTTATTTTAATAATAAGAAATCAGGCATCTCACGTGCCATCTGAATGGCTGTAAATACCTTGGATCATCATGTGAACATAAGAAGACAATTGAGCAATCACTAGTTACTCAAACTTCAAGAAAAAACTCCAGGAATGGGGTAGGTGGGGAGTGGTGTAATTTCCCATACCTAATGTGTAAAAGTCAAGGGAGGCCTAAGAGAGTACACAACTGCTGCATTTACATGAAGAGAAAGTGGCTGTCCCAGGGACAAATGTCACTATTATATATTCAGACTGTAGCAGACAGGAGAGAGGATATTGTCAACAAAACACGTTAAAAATACTTAATGCTCCACCCTTCAACACAAAGCCCAAATGAAAGAAAAACTGGGTTCTGGCTTATGACAGAGGCTTACAGTCAGGATAAAAAAGGCAAAAGCCAGAGACAAGTATAGCAAGAAGATGACAAGTTCTCTGATGTAGGACTCAACTAGCAAAGCCAGTCCAACGAAATTTATATACACAGCTTCTAAATGCTGAGACTATAAAGCCAGAGCCTTCCAACTAAGCTCAGAAATCAAGGTCAGTGATGAAAATTATCTATACACCAACTCACTTCAGCTTTCATCACCTTTTTAGGAGTTTTGAGACTCTGGGTACGTTTAGGAAGTTTGTCTCCTGCATCTTCATCTGATGGGTCTGTTCTGGTATCTGACGGGGTTCCATTAGGCCGATGTGCCACACTGCTCTCCTCTCCAGAGGAATAACAGGAAGCTAAGGAACAAGAGCAAAAGTTTTAGCAAATACTTTTAAAGAATCTCATGAGGCTTAAAATGGCCCATCCTCAAGGAACACATGACAGAGAGATGTCAACCATCCTGAATAAGGATAATGGGATAAGTACAGGGATGCATATTAAATGAGAAAGCTCTAGGGAAGACAATGCAACTTCTCCCAGATAATTTACAATATTGTACTCCTTTCTGAGATCCAAGGCTCAGGGAAGCCCTCCTGGCTCACCATCCAAGGTCTCACACAATGGCCCAGCGGGTGCTCTGTACCTGAGTCTTCAACAGTTTCCAGCAGACTCGAACCAGAGGGGTGCAGTTGTGGATCACAGCTTCGCATATGCACAGTATCTTCATCTCGGATCAGAGTGAGATCCTGCATGCTGAAACTTCGAAGCTTCTCAGACAAAACTCCCTGGCCCTAAGAGGACATAAAATTAGAGTGAAAGGCACATCACCAAGATCATTTCACATGGGATCATTCATTCAGAAGAGGAGCAAAGGTGCCCTTTTCCCCACTAGGGTACTCTGAAAAAAACAGAAAAGGGAAAATGCATGCTCCCAAGAACAACAACTAAGAGGTTAAAGCAAAATCCACTCCACTCCCCCTCTACTTTTTTTTTAAGTCAGAGAATGGAATTAACAGTAGGGCAAACTGGAAGGAAGGAAAAGTAGGTTGGTGCCAAACAAGTACGAGTATCCCTAACAGACCCGCAGCACCTAACTGCTAGTACACAAAAATAAACTGCTAGAGAATTCCTGGATGTTACAGAAGGCATTGCATTACCTTTGCAGCTGCAGTAACTGCTGCATTGGCAGCAAGGTTTAACCCTCTCTTGCCAACTCGCATCATGGTTTCATAGCTCTTGTCACAAGCCTGAGTAATGTATTCATCAATTTCCTAGGAATGCAAGATGGAACATGGCATTTAACTAACTGCTCGTTACAAACACGATCAAAGTTTCCCCATCATCACCCTTAAAAACACAAAGCTCATCTGGACACACTTTTTTCAAGCTACTAGCATCAGGTGTCATTGATCACATAACTCAAGTTTCTCTGCTAATTACAGAAAAGCGTGTAAGTACAACTTTAAATTACAGTATGCTATTTCCAGATTATAACAACTGAAACAAAATAGTTGCTTGTATCAACAATGTGAAAAAAAAGACTGGCTACAGAACACGCTGCTCCTATTGTGATTGAAAAGGCTTAACTACGGACAGTGACTGTAGGGGCTCGTGACACTGAGTTAGCCAAACATGCTTTCTAAGCATTAGGCAAACTATTGGCTACACTGCAATCTTCAGTAAGCTGCAGTATGACATCATTGTCAGACACAGAATCATTTTACACTCACTAAGATCAGCACAAGCAAGATTCACTGATTCCAGTTTTTGTGACATAACTGAATTAGAAGTCAGTCAGTTCCCAGACAGGTCAGTATCTTCCAACAACAAGCAGGTACCTTCTCCTTATTGGAGAGCGTTGGGTGCACAAACTTCCTGTAGAGAACACTGGAGCCCTTGGTGTAAGGGGAGAGCAGCCAAATCACAAATGCGATTTTCAGCTCGAAATAAAAGGGAAACCTGAGAGAAAGAGGAAAGAAAAAAGAAAAAAAAGAAGAAGAGAAAGATGTAGAACTGGAATCAAGATCAGCACAGAGACAGATTAATAGAGAGCAGCACAGGCAGAAAGAGTGTAGGCAAGGTAAAGGCTCAGACACAAGAGAATCAATTATTCAGGTCAGAAAAGCAGAACCCTTTTTAGAATCCTAGGACATACCTTCTTCGAGTATCATTTAGTCTTTCATCCATAGCCATGAAAACTCCATAAACAGGGCATCTCTCAGCCCTGCAAACACACCAAATTATAGTCTGATAGCTACTCTCATCATTCTGACGTTTCTTCAGAGAGCATCCAGTGGATGTTAATACTACATTAGTTTCCCTTCTCAATTTTCAAAATTTTCAACTATTATCTTAATCATATCACATTCCTATCAAAGCTGATGGCTGTTTCTGAAACTTCCAAAAGGTACTCCTCAGATAAGAAACAAAAGCAGGGCCAGTGTAAATGAAAAAGAGTGGGCTGAACGGAAGCCTATCATCTCTAACCCTTACCCAAAAAAGTCTGGGAAGATGTAATAGCAGAGATTGAAACAACTGAATGCAAATTTTCTACTGACTCAATTAGTAGGAAGAAACTTCTGTTTTCAGAAGTCCTTTTTGTAAATAAGCTAAAGTTCTTATACTTTTTCAATCTTTGTCTGCTTTTCAGATTTCATGCAGGTAGAAACAAAGCTGCTTCTGTAAGGCATGTGTAGTACTTCACGATTCTCTAGGAGATGAAACTCTTGACGAACATTGTTTCAGAGATGTACCCAGAGCTCAAACACTAAAGCAATGAGTCAGCTGAAGATACCCTGTTTCAAAGGTTCAGTTGAAGCCCTGTAACAATGAATTGTCATTTTTGGAGGCCTCCATATTGGCAAGGATGACACAGGGCACTGAAAAGAGTAATAATCTGCTTCCTTCTATTCCAGTCCATCCCACTCTCCCAAGTGGGAGAGAAGTTCATCATGCAAACCACTCACAGCACAGACACGCATGTGATCTGCTCTTCCACATAAAAGACTGTCAAAGCAAAATAGGTCCCTTCCTTCGACCATTTTTGTGTCTTTTAGACTATCATTTTTCAAACGGTACCAGTTCACATTAACAGCTTCTCAAAAATATTTCAAGTTATGAATGGACGAAGATCCTTTTATAGATACTGTGCATTTACCCTAACTTTGCAAGCAAAGGAGTTGAAACAGCTAAGATGGCAGCTGTTACCCACAGTATCTAGAAACCTGCCGACTCTTCACAGGGATTGAAAACTCCTAAAGGAGACACCATTTATCCTTAGCATCCTAACACTTCTCTGCTTAAAAAAGGCAAAAAAAACCAAAACAAAGACATAGCAATAACAAAAACAAAAACCAAAAACGCAACGAGCCACCAAGGAACTCACCAAGAAAGAACAATGTCCGTGAGTGTTTCTGCAGTGGTGAAAAAGGCAAACACAATCCAGTACATCATCCACTTCACCTGCAAAAGAGCAGTCACTCAATGGACATACATCAGAACCCAGAAAAAAAGTGAAATGTCTTCTTAGTATAAATGACTCATCTCCACACATTAAGACAGATTCAAAAAGAAGGCATATATAATCTTCAATGGAGAGGGACACATACTAAATGGTACATTTTAATCTGAGAAAGCATGTAGGATTACTGTGCTCTAAATAGATAAACATATACAGATACACTGATGAATGCATGCCCTGGAGCAATATTTTATGGTGCAACAGTGTTAAGGTCCCAAATGACCTATCCAAAGGGATTTATCAGTTCACTTTAAGAAGTTATACTATTTCATATATCATGAATACCCAAAAAAAAATAAATATACATGCACATGTGTAAAAGTTTAACTTTCAGCTGCAGCCATGTACTTTCCTGATGTAAAGTTTTTCCTTAGGAATAAAGGAAAACAGAAAACCAAGAAAGGTATTATTTTCTCTAACTCACTAATAAACATTCTTTGCCTTAATCATTACTCCCAGAAATCACACAAGCAATTAATTTTTCTTTTTAAATAAAAGCTCACTGAGAGAGGTAAAAAAGCAAAGAACATGCCACATCAGCCTAATCCTTGCTTAAGGTTTAGAGTGCATGTATGTACTATTATGACACATTTGGATGCCTATCATCTTTCTCTCTACTTTCTCACACCCTTATCTGGGGCAGTATTTTTTTCAAAGCCCAAAATAATTCCCCCTTAACAAACAGAGATGCACACTCTGCTGTTTTTGTAACTGGTTTCTCAGCTACAAGCCAATTACTCCTCAAGAGGAGTCAGCTGAATTATAAGGGAAATTGATAGTTTCTATCCTGTTGAGAACTAAAAAAGAGCAAAAGTACCAGATAAATGAAAAGGACACCTTAATTAAAAGCAATTTAACACTCTTAATTGTCATCAAAAATGGGAAAAAAGAACCAAACTGAATCAGGGAAATGCCACATATTAAATCCACACATTAATCCATACATTAAACTTACATGAACAATTATGTTCATACAATAATGACATGTTGACAATCCTTGTTACAGCAAATAATATAAAAGCAGATATTTCCCCAAACTTGCATGTGTTGGAAAATTTGGTGATTTGTTCTTGAAAGACCCTCCACAAGTTTCTCATAAAAGAAAATTCATCTGTCTCCAGCTGCTCTAACACAGTGAATTGTTTAGAAGATAGTGGTTAGTAATCCAAATTATTTCTACTTTACTGTAAACTTTCTTTTTCAGAACAGAAAATAGCAAAACTTGTATTGTATGGCTCTCCCCTGCCTTTTTTTTTTCCCCTTGTATCATCAGTTTGGACAAGACAGGTGTTGTTCAGCTAATCTAAAAGAACTTTTCAAAATGAATGATTAAGTCCTCAGTGCAGCAACATGAATCAGCTCTTGTATGAAGACACGTGTGAATAATAATAAATCTAAGTTTGCAAAAAGGGATCCAAAAGGGTGAGAGATTTCAGGAAACCTATACACCTATTCACAGCAAATCTTCAGCATTAGGCAAAATGAAGGCAATAACAGTAATAAAAAGCAATTAGCAAATACCTACATATATGTAACAAAATGAAGATTATAGGGTTTTCTTCAGAAAAAAAAAATTCACAAGTGTAGCAGAACTCTTAGGTTTCCATAAGCCTATGCTAGCTATAGTGCTTTCCTTACAGGACAAGGGTATATGAAGTTTCTAAATAGCTTCTAACAGGTCTATACAAACACTTAAAAAAACAAAATCGTCAAGGATAAAAATGAAGGGACTATTGAGGATTAACAATTGGTTACAAAAAAGGAAACAAAGGATAAAAGGAAATGGCCACTTTTCACAATGAGGAAAGTTACCAGTGGGATCCCACAGGAATCAGTGTTGAGATCTGTGCTGCTCATCTTCATGAAACATCTGGAAAAGGGTGTGAATAGTAAGATGACAAACTGCAGAAGATACTTTTCTATACAAGAGATCAGGTAGGAGATGGTTAAAGAATTCAAAAAGGATCCTAATTGATCTCCAGCTGACATTTTGTCTCTAAATAGGATTAAGTACAAAGCAATGAACTTACAGTGTCTGCTTTTTCTTAGTGAAAACTATTGCATTTACATATATTAGCAGATGTCGCTCAAAAGTGGTCACTGTAGGTAGCCTGAGTGTAAGCCTAATGCTTCATTTCAGTCTGCTAACAGAATGCTCAGGAGTATGAACTGAGAACAGAAAACATTGTTTTGTTACTGTTCAAATAAACTTCACGTGCCTATCTTTGACACTGGACGCAGGTCTCCTTGCCTGTGTCTCCTTCTGTCACCCTTCACCCTATGTTCTAAAGCCAAAGTAAAAAAGAAGTACAGCTCCTAAACAAACGGGAAAGATCCAACTTCTAGTTCTAGAAGTTTCTGCAGATGACCAGAAACTAAAAGAGCAGAAAGCAGATGGGAAGAAATCCTATTTTATTTCTTATGACAGATTAAAAACACCTTCTAAAACTGAGGGTTGAATGAGGCTGCATTTTTTTTTTTTTCAGTCCACTAAAAGGAGTCATTTGCTGCTCACCCTGATGATCACCAGCTTCAGGTACACATATAGTCTCCCCAGCTTGCACAAAGAACCTAAAGGAATTCAGCAAATGCAAAAGCATAATTGAAATGTAGACTTGACCGATGCTGAAGACGATATGTGGAAAGAAATTGCTTTTAGGACAATCTGAGCTCATAGAAGCAGTTTGCCACAACTGCTCAAGAATTTATCCTGAATTTTTATCATGGTGGTAGAGAAGAGTAAATTTGCACTGTACTCTGATGTCACTGACAGACTCTGTGGTAGCTTGGTCTGTGTCACCTCAAGCTTCAATACACCACTTTAGCACAGAAACACCTGTAAGACCTTTCTCTACCACCAAACCCTAACCAATGTTGGTTCTTAAGCACTGTGAACAAGTAGTACATAAAACAGCTGGATTTGAAAATCGGCAGCACAGCGTTCAAGTTTTCTGCTGAGTTTTCACATGAAGAACATGTGAAACATCGAACATGTGAAGCATATCGAACAGATACTGCCCCTTCTGCTATCTTTTCCCCCTATCTTTTCACTTGTGTTGAGAAGGAAGAAGCATTTCAAATGTAAGCTAATTAGACAGATGGCAGTCCAACATCTAACTCCTTTATTTCTGATGCAATACTCTCAAGGAAGAATCATTAATATGTAAGTTTTAGCAGTTCAAATACACGTTCTCGAACCCCTCCAGCATTTTCACTGAAACTAAAAACAAGATTATATTTTCTGCTGCAGCAATCCAGACTATCTACTTCAGGAAACCTATACCACTGAATCACTAAACAAAACCCAAAAATTAATGACAAACTTTTCCACATCATAGGTCTTGTCTCAAAAACATCCCTCCTGTAAGAAGGCAAAAAACCACATCACAAAAAAATTCTAGTGTTTTAAATATGGTACTTGTAGCAATGGTGTAGACAGAGATATAGAAACCGTTCCACAAGGGAAAGAGAATGAAATTTTGACCAAAATGAAACACTGATCACAAGCAAAATTGATAGGAATCCACAAACCAAGCAGGACTATTCAACCCTTCGGAAGAAAAGAAAAGTAGTACCGAAAAAGCAGTAAAGGACACAAAGTAAGGGTAAAGTTGCAAGAAAGAACTTATCCTGGACTTTCATATGCTTCCAGGTTGCAGTGTTTCCCCTGCTTTCCCTTCCTCACTCAGCATCTCCTGAGAAAATACAACCCACGTCTACGGGTTGAAACCTCTCATTTCAGTAAGCACCCATCCTTGGCAGCTTTTCCAGAGATGTCTGGAGCTGCTGTTCGGGCGGCCTGGCTGACCCGAGCCCCTGCGGAGCCGGGGTGCCATCGTCCCGGGGACAGGCCGGGGGCTTGCGAGGCGGCCAGGAAGGACGAGGCGGGCGCTCCGCCGGCACGGCGAGCCCGTACTCACATATTCCTTTACGTTTTTCGTCTTCACGGCCTTGTAGGAGGAGTACGCGGGGTAGAGGGTGCCGAAGATCAGCCTACGAGAAGAACAGACCCCTCAGCGCCTCGCGGCGCCCCGCCCCATCCCCGGCCGCAGTGGCGGGCGCTCCCCCCGCCATGCCGGAGCCGGAGTGATGCCGGTCTCCGGGCGGGGCTCAGCCGCCTTCCCCGCGGCACCGCAGCAGCCCGCGCGGACCCGCTCGTCTGTAGCCGCAGCCACCCGCGAGGGTGCCCGCCCCCCCAGCCGCCCCTTCCCGGGCGCGGGGTCCCGCGGGGCAGCACCGACGCCAGCGCCAGAGCCCCGCTCTGGGCCGCGGCCCACGAGGGACCATCGAGGAAGGGCCCCGCGCCCCGGCCGCAAGCACTCACACCACGAGGCGGGAGATTATCCAGGAGACCATGGCGACACCGGGCGCGGCTCAGGGCTGAGCAGCGGCGGGAGGCGGCTCTTAAAAGGCAGGTTCCTGCAGCAAGCGCAGCTCCGCCCCGTGTGCTCGCATGGGAGGAGCCGACGCGGCGGAGGGAGAGGCCGCAGAACCCCATCGAGTCGCGCTGCCCCCGCCCCGCTGAGGGAAAGCTCCGCGTTCGCTCGCACCAGGGCGGGAGGTGCGGCGGGAACCCGGGAACGGAGCCCCGCCAGCGGAACGGCAGCAGAGAGGTAGAAAAGCCGCGTTGCTGGAACGATGGCAGAGGAGCAACATGCGCAACGTGAGGAAAATTACAGGAGAGTGTTGAATTGAGATCACAGGCACTTGGGAAGACGGAGTAATAGAGACCACAGAAGAAGCCATCTTCCCTCCAGTTGCCTCCTCCAGGGAAATCAAGGCAACAGCTATTACATGCTGCAAACAGAGTAGTTAAGTGTAAAAGCGTTGCAGACTTCCACGGCTCCAAGTTTCACCCAATACCGAATGCCAAACCAACTAGCCGATACTTACTTTTTTTGCGTTATCAAACCAGAATAAAGGCTGTTACTTGTAGTTCCCAGATAATTTCAGTGTTGCCAGATACTCTTCCTCGAAAGCTGAAAGGTCAAGGATTACTTTGGTAACTACAAACACAAGGCTGAACAGTGTACGTGTGTGGGAATATCCGTTGGGCAGGGTGGGAAATGTGTATGCTTAAGCATACTGGAGTACAGGAAACTGTTATATTTTAACAGCTCACCAAGGAATACTGTTAAAAGAATCTTCCTCCTCAGTCAATGCCAGAGTTCATTACTGGGTCCTTGGGAACCTGTATGTATATTACAGTCAAGGAGATTAGGCCCTGTACACAGACCTCTGAATCACACTGAGATAACCATTATTAAGCTGTTTTTAAATGAAGGAAGAAAGAAAGAAAGAGAAAAAAAAAGCTAGAAATCTACTATGGTTCTTCAGCTAACAAAAACAAACGAACAAAAACAAAACACCAACAAACCCCCCAAAACAACAAGAAAAAACAAAAGAAACCAAAAAACCCACAAAACAAACAAAAAAAGCCCTGAAGGAAGACTATGTCAAAGTCTCATTAGTTGCCGATAGCTGCTGAAGAGCCTTTATCAAAAGTAATGAGATGAAGGAAAGAGTCAGAACAAAAACAAAGAGCTGTTTGGGAAGAATTTTCTCATGAATGCATGAAATTCAGTATAATGAGCAGTGATGACAAATACAAAACATTGACAACTTCCCATTACATGCAAGAGATGAAAACACAAGTGTCTCCGCAGACAGTGACAAAGAACATTTTGTCACAGTCTGCTTTTGGATATGAAGGGCCACAAAATGATTGCATAAGGGACTGCACAATTTACACCATTGATGACATAACTGACCTACTAATAGGATAAAAGGAATCTGCTTTCACACGTCCAAATAACAACAACACGCAAAACCTTCAACAAAATAACTACATTTCTAACTGCATCAGTTTCTCATCGGCGACCAGCACAGCAAAAGGTCTGCTACCTGAGTAATTTGTGCAAACAGAAGAGGGAAAATGCAGCGATCTTGTGAGTAACACATATGACAGTGTGAGAATGCTAAATAACTGCAGCATGGGTGACACCTAAATAAAATGTGCCTTAGTGTTTTAAGCTATTTAATGTGCCAAGGGGCAGTATGAAAGTGTTCGGTGCATTAGACACAAATGATGGCAAGAACAACAGAATCTCAACATCAGTAGAGAAGGTGGTGGTGTAAATCTAAGTGGCAGCTCACTGTTAAGTAGCATGTTGAGCTTTAGCACGACTTCAGAAAAAGTATTTTAAGCTAGCAATTTACCTTTAGCAATAAGAAGTTCAATTTTTTTCCATCTCATAAATAAAAACGACATATTAATTAACTTACCTTTCCACAAGAAGGAACTACTGGTAGTTTAAGGGCTATTTTTGGAACAAAAGTCAGCTGCAGGTTAAGTGAAAATAAAAATATTTATTAGTAGTATTCTTTTTATTAAGTTAGTAGTAATATTGTATAATGCTGTATAATTAAGACCTACCCAGGAAAGCAATTCATCGTTTTCAAATTAAGGCTGTAGGGGTTTTTTTGCAGATATGCTGCTGCTGAAACAACTCATGATAAATTTGTGGTTTATCCACAAATGGTCCAAACAGGTCACCAAATATCTCTCAATCTGCTATGGCTAAACAATAAAGCATGGAAATCACACAATCTGTTCCTCGAGTAGAACAGTTTAAGCAAAGCTACATTAAGAAAAATGCCAGGTCAGATCCAGAGATCCTGCCAAAGCTGAGGTTCAGGCAGAAGCTGCTATGATGAAGAGGAACAGCAATTCAACAGGGCTCAAGAATATAGGATTCCCTCTAGAAAAGTTTAGCAGACAAAATATGGGTCTTGGGAATAAAAGTGAAGTGGAAGAGCACAGTGGGAACCCTCTCTGAAGCATAAAGGTGCACATTGTAGTGGAAGAGTATCAAAAGCTGAACGAAGTAAGGAAAACAGAAAAAGTGCAAGCTGACAGCAAAAAAAGACATTGTAAGGGCTAGGGCCCTAGAACTGGAAATTGTTCTGAGAACATTTCTTTACCGGTTTTGCTCTGTGATTGAAAGCTCTTGTCATAGAAGACACCTTCCTAGAGGAAACAGTTGTATTTTGTCATATCCAGCTCTTGAAACGTACATTACCATTCTCCTATTAGACTATATATAAAGGCAGAGATAAATCAAAAGCTCCCTGCAAGACAGGGGAATGAGGGAGATAAGAGAGAAAAGTAAGATGATTTCAGCCTGGTTATTTTTCAAATGCCTGGTGGGAACATGCAGCTCTTTTTCAAAAGCTGAGAACAGGAATCTTAAAGACACTGCCAATTGAGAGGAAAGGAGCTGTGGGCTGATTTCAGATTCTGAGATGCACTGGAAAAGAGTGACTACAAGCAGGCATTGGCATGCATACCAGCTATTGCAGTAAGTTTGGGGAAACACTGAAGTTGACAATCAGAAGATAAGATTCCTTACCAGTAACCAGAAGTGGGAAGATGCAGTGTCAACAGGTCATTCTATGCTATGCTCCCCTCACATGCTGTGTAGTTTCACAATCATTTCCCACTGAATCAGTGCTTACAAGGTGTGCTTGATGCATGAATAAATCACTGGTGTGTCATACACCTCAACCAATACCTCTTAACTGTAGGAGCTCAGAGCTATCAAAGGGCTACCAGGAGTGAGGAAGAGGGAAATCATATGTACAGGGGAGCAACAGTTTTAAATAATATCTATGCCTCCTAACTTCTTTCATCTTATTTGGATAAATTCAAGTTACTGCTTAGCATCTGACTTTGCTGCTCTAATTCTGATTCCACATCCTCAGGTTTTACAAAAGGCTGTCTAAGAATCTTTCAGAGAAACGACACATGGAACACAACTTTCGATGTATTAGGTACTTATTTTTTCCTCAGTTGCCCCATAGTAAAGACTTCGTAAAAGTAAACCTTGCACACATTTTTATTCAGTATCAAGAAAAGGAAAGGTTTTTGTTTGAAAAGGAGCGAAATCTTCAGACTGGGGACATTTTGGGGACATTACACCCTTGCATGGCTGAGCACACACCAACCTTCAGTATTGTGAATGCAATCTAAATTCACTTGGGCAGGCCAACACCCATATATTCCTGAATTCTTGCTTTATCTTGTCCATAGTTACACAGGACACTGGCTAAAAGACAAGCCAGAGTTTATATTCAAAAATGGTGCTGCCCACTGTCTCATGCACCTCCATTTAGAAATGGCAAGAGAGCATTAGGTAGAACAAGTATGATGACTGCAGCAAACTATATTAAGACACATAGCTCAAGTTTTTTATTTTCCCTCTGCTAAAGCCCCTCTGATTTATGATGTCTGCTTTAATCTGCTTACATTCCATGTAACATACCAGCTGCCCCTTAAAATCTTGAACTAGAAAATACTGTGACAAAAACTATTGATTATATATCTTAAGCCAATTTTATAATCACTTTGGCTAGCTACTTCTGGTATAAGCTCTGTATGATATATGTCAGAACAATCTGATGATCTTTAAGGTCTCTTCGAACATAGGCCATTTTATGATTTTACAATATTTCTTAATTTTAATAATACCTCTGATTTTGGCTGAATATTGCTTCAGGTTGATTGTGCTCCATGATTAATAAAAAATAAATTCAAGAGACAGAAGCAGTACTTGATAAATTCAAACTAAACAAAGGTTTAGAATGAGATGCAAAACTCTTATTGTAGATCACCGCATTCAGAATTACACAAGCTACTGTATTAGATATAGCCAGGTCTCTGCCTTCTTGATCTTTATCCAATTCTAATGCTTATACACACACACACACACACACACACACAAAGGAGGGAAACAT